GTGGATTGGCAGCCAGCTTTCTGCTAGCAGGACCACAGCTCTCTTCACCTGGGAGATCATGGGGAAGCAGGACATCCACCAAGTGGTTCCCAGGATCTTGGGAACAGATCCCATAAGAACCCTTAAGACCCAGGACTCTATGAATTTCTTTTGAAACTCACAACCCTTCCAGAAGCCTGTGCCTGTGTTGTCTTTTATTATGAAAGTGATGTACATCAGGGTGGCTCACACCTGTCACCCTAGCTACTCAGGAGGCTGAGATCTGAGGATCTCAGTTCAAAGCCAGCCCAGGAAGGAAACTCTGTGAGACTCTTATCTCCAATAAACCACCAGAAAACCAGAAGTGGTGCTGTGGCTCAAGTGGTAGAGAGCTCACCTTGAGCTGAAGAGCTGAGGGACAGAGCCCAGGCCCAGAGTTCAAGTCCCACAACTGACAAAAATAAAATAAAAATAAGAATGGTGTGCAGGGGGGTTACAGTTACATATCAGGTAATAAGTACATTTCTTCTTGGACAGTGACAGGCCTTCCCTTTCTTCCAGTTTTTCCCTCCCATCCCCACCCACAAGTTGTAGAGTTCATTTTCAACATAGTATCTAGTGCTGCACTTGTTTATTCTTTGTCTCTCCATGTCTATACCCCCATTACCTCCCAAAGACAGATAAAGGGACAAACAGAACAAAAAGAAGAAAATACAGCAACAAAGGGAAAAACCTCTTGTTTCCATTTCCTGGAGTTCATTTTGATCAATATTAGTTTATAGGATCAGATGCTCACCGGCACTGTGCCTTTGTGTGTATTAAGGCTTGATCTCAGGGCCTCATGCACTTGCTTGGCTTTTCCACTCAAGATTGGCTTTCTACCTCTAGATCGACACCTCCACTTCTGACTTTGTGCTGGTTGATTGGAGATAAGAGTCTGGTGGACTTATCTAAATGGGCTGGGCCTGGTGATCCTCAGATCTCAGCCTTCTGAATAGCTAAGATCACTAGAGTGAGTCACTAGTTCCGGACAACAAGGAACTGAATCTCCTTGAAACAACAAAAATAAAAAAGGACCAGGTTCCGGGAAGCAGGGTTGTCAAGACCATGGACAGGCAGGGGCAACAGTCTTCCAGAAATGGGGGACAAGTGGAGAGCCCTATACACCCTGCTCCTCCCCCAAAGCCAGCCGTTTGGCCCAGGGGCCTGGGTGTGCTTGGTGTGTGTGGAGCTGGGGAAGGGTTACACTGACAGTAGACTGGAAAGGATGACCCTACCAGCCAGCATGGGGTATCTAAGGAAGAAGCCCTGGATAGAGGAAGAGTCCACTCTTCCCTTAGTCCTGGGCCAGCGTCACTAACTCCAGTCCTATCTGACATGAAATGCTCAGTGTGTTTGTACCTTAACTATGTCCCAGGGCAAAGCCAAAAGTCAGGAATACAAAAATATTCAACGACTCAGGTGCTGGTGGCTCCTATCTGTCATCCTAGCTTCTCAGGAGGCTCAGATCTGAGGATCATGGTTCAAAGCCAGCCCAGGCAGAAAAGTCTGAGATTCTTTTCTCCCATTAACCACCAAAAACCCAGAAGTGCCTTGAGCAAAAATAGAGCTTTGTCATTGTGCCTTCCATTATCCAGCCCCCAGGAGCAGAGCTGGACCTGTGCAGTAGGGGCCATGGAGGGGTCTCCAGGGCCCAGCACACCTCTCTGCAGCTTCACCAATGCCCCTCAGAAAGCCTTGGGGAGGGACCACTCTTTGGGGTTCCTCTCTGAGTCTCCCTACTTTCCTTTTATGGCTTTCCTTCACTTTCAAGTAAACTTGCTCTGTTTGCTTACACACACACATACACACACACACACACACACACACACACAGAGCAATTAAGCCTCAGAGAGATGGGGGGCCCCCTCAGGTTCCTCCCCAGGGAGTCAGTAAGGACATTGCCCCACTCCTCCCCCCCACTTGGTGTCCTTTCTGCTGGGGTGGAGGAGGAGCTGGGCGGGATTCTATGGAAAGCTCAGAGAGCACATGGGTAAAGCCAGTTCTGAAGACTGCAAGGAGGGGAGTGGGGAGGGAAATGGGTAGAGCAGGCTATGGTCAGTCTGGTGGTCACATCTGTAATTCCAGCTATTCCAGAGGCTGAGGACCATGGTTCGAAGCCAGCCCAGGCAGGAAAGTTCATCAGACTCTTATTTCCAATGAACCAGCAAAAAGCCAGAAATGGAGCTATGGCTCAAGTGGTAGAGTGCTAGCTTTGGAGACAGCGCCCATGCCCCAAGTTCAAGCTCCAGGACCAGCACATGCACGTGTGCAAATACACATACAGACACAGAGCAGGCTATAAAATAAATTGTTTTTCAGAACCATTTTGGGTTCATACAAAAGTCTGCAGGGGGCTTGAGGTGGAGCTCAAGTGGTAGAGCATTTGCACATTAAGCTCAAGGCCCTGAGTTCAATCCCTATTGACTTCACAGCAAAGACCACCATCGGGCTGGGAAGGTGGCTCAGTGGTAGAGCGCTTGCCTTGCATGCCTGAGACCCTGGGTTCAATTCCTCAGCACCACATAAGCAAAAAGAAAAAAGCCAGAAGTGGCACTGTGGCTCAAGTGGTAGAGCGCTAGCCTTGAGCTGAAGAGCTGAGGGACAGCGCCCAGGCCCAGAGTTCAGGCTCCACGACCGGACCCCCCCAAAAAAAAGAAAGAAAGAAAAGACCACCATCTCCAATAAAGCCACATTGAGGTCCTTGGGGTTGAAGAAAAAAGAAAAAGAAAGGGAGGGAGAGAGAAGGGGGGATGGAGAAAGAGGGAAAGAGACTACCATCTTCACAATCAGAACGCAGCTATGGTCTGTGTATATGTCAGGTATTCTGACATGTACATGGTCCTCCAGCACACGTCAGCCAGGCTCCTCTGATTCGAGGTTGGTGATGGTGTCACATCCTGCTGCCAGGGCTCCCCTCCCCCAGGACATCCCCTCCCTTCCACCAGTGGCAGTCCCTGCTGTGACCTATGTGTCTGACCAACTGGCCACAGGGCAGGGCCTCACAACCCCTCTCAGGCTCAGCTGGCTTTCAGTCTCCTATGTACTGCTTCGGGTTTTTTGCTTTATTTTTAGGTTTAGACCACGACTGGATACCTGCCACTTTCACTCATTGGCTAGCGCTCTACCAACTGAGCCACACCTCCAACCCCTCACCTGCAAAGGATGAGACCAGAGGAAGAAGCGTGGGGGCGTGGCACCGGGGAGGGGCGGGGCTCCACCCACTGGAGGTGCGGGGCGTGGCTTCTATCCCGTTGGAGGCGTGGGGCGTGGCTTCTACCCCGTTGGAGGCGTAGGGGGCGTGGCACCGGGGAGGGGCAGGGCTCCACCCACTGCAGGCACACGGGGCGTGGCTTCTGCCCCGTTGGAGGCACAGGGGGCGGGGCACCGGGACGGGGTGGGGCACTGGGGAGGGGAAGAGCCTCCCTCCTCTCCTGGCACCGCCTAGGATCTGCTGTCAGGAGCTTTCTCAGCAGGCTTTGGGGTTTTCGGGGGTCTTTTTGTGGTAGGCATGCAGGATCGCACCGTAGGGCACCTGGAAGACTCGGCTGGAGTTCTTCCTGCGGGAGGCTTGCCCCCCCCCACTAACCCACGCAGGCCCGCGGGCGTCTTCACAGGCAAGCGAGGACCCAGGGCCTCCCCCCCGTTGATTTAGCTGGGGCCAAGTTCGTGTGGCTTTGCTGCCACTGGCTGGTTTTTGCTTCGATCTTGTGATGAAACTAATCTTAATTCATCAATCATTGGATGATGGAAGGAAGGAGAGAAGAGGGCCCGAGGTAAGAAAATCTTATCGTGGCGCGCACACACACACACACACACACTCACTATCCTGGGGACAAAGGCAGAGGCAAGACAGGGCCCATCTATGGTCCGCACTTGTGCGGAGGATCCCGGCCTGTGATTCCTGAGGACCAGGGCTGCCCTCTAGAGGGAGCTGGCCACCCTTCCACCGTGCCCAGAAAAAACGGGCAGGGGCAGCAGCTCCCTCCATAGGACATCCCCTTGCAGATGTAAAGGCGGTTTCTGGGCAGGGTAGCTGGCCCTGCTGCCAGGCACAGGGAAGGGTCAGGGGTCAGCCCAGCTTCCTGAGGGGCACAGCCTGTGCTGTGAGGTTTCCGCTGTAGACAGACTCAGGAAAAGCAGCGTCTGAACTCTGGAAGTTCACTGGACACAGAGGTGCTGGGGCCTGGGGACAGCTGTGTCAGGGCCACCTCTTCCCCAGGGGCCTCACGGGAGGAGGAGTGGGTCAGATGGGAATGGTGAGTAGCTCAGAACTGCTGGAGACAAAGCGCGGTGCAGGGGGCCTGATGCAGGCGTAGGACTCGAGCCGCAGCTGAGCCCACCTGGGCCATGCCAGGACCCGCACAGCCGCCCTGCAGGCTCAGGGCGGGAGGCCTGGGGGGTGCGTATCCTCACCTCCCTGCTCTCTGGCACTGGCACGGGGTGCAGCAGGAGGGCCCCAGCACAAGCCTTCTTGAGTGGTGACCACTAGAGCCATCTTCCCAGCCAGTGCCAGCCCTGGGGCCGACAGAAAGGACTGGAAATCAAACCTACTTCCGAGGAGCTTCCGAGTCAAAGGTCAGACCCCAGGCAGCCTCCTGGGTACAGCCCCAACTGCAGCAATGCCAGGGCAGAGAGCATGCCCCTTCCTGAGCACCCCTCGGCCTTGCTGGCCCCATCACCTCAAAAACCCCTTCCCCTGTGAACCGCACAGCTAGAATATTTTGGGGAAGCCCAAGATCTTGGCACATTCCCTGCGTCCTGAGCCGGCCTGGGGCAGCGAGGGGGCGTGGGGAGTTGGCCTTGCTACCCCTCCCCTTCCTGCTGGCCCTCCTTCCGGGGCACCCAACCACTGTAGGGTGTGCTGACAGATGGGCGGACATGCCCACCTCCTGCGGTCTGAGGTCTCCACCCTGTGGGAAACCACAGTGGGAGGGGAAACAAGGGCAGGGGAAAGGAGAGGAGAGGAGAGGAGAGGAGAGGAGCAGGACTACCATGGCGCTTCGGAGTCGAGTCAAGTTTGCCAAATGCCAAATGCTGGTCACCAGCTTCTTTGTCTTGGTAACAGGCAGGGGTGGGTTTCTCAGGGCATGCCCAAGCCTCTGAAACTGGTCACACCTACACACCTACACACACACACACGCACACACACTCAGGGCATGCCCAAGCCTCTGAAACTGGTCACACCTACACACACACACACACACACACACACACACACACACACCAGCTCTAATCTGGCAGGTCGGCTAGCAGCCATCTTGAAATACCTTGGGAAGGACACCCTTGTGGGAAGGACATCCGCCCTCCTGAGGGGCCATGCAGGGCCTGGAGGAGGCTGGGTTGGGCCCAGAGTCTTGGATGGCTGGTGGCCGGTGGGGAGGTCCTGCTGGAGCGGGCACTGGCTGCCCGGCTGGGAGATGGCTTTCTCCCTCCCACCATGGGGGCTTTCAGAGGCTGGGGAGGGGCTCAGGTGATGCAAGGTTCTGGCTTCTTGCAGAAACTCTGTGTGTGTGTGTGTGTGTGTTATCAACGTGTGTTTGTATCAGTATCTGTGTGTGTGCATATGCCTATGTGTGTGTGTGTGTGAGTGTGTATGTTGGGGTAACTGGGACAAATGCCTCCCAGCGCAAACCCCAGAGAAACACCCAGAACTCCCTGCAGCTGGCCTGCCTTGTGTAAGGTGAGCAAGCATGGGGGATGTGGTTGGAGGCCCTGGGAGCCCAAGTCCTACCCGCGGGCGCAGGAGGGGCTCCGTGCGGCATGAGCCCAGGTGCTGAGCCCACCTCTCCCCCAGCTGCTGAGCCTGGCCGGGGCTTCCATTGTGGCGCTCACACACTTTGGGGACCACTTTACTGTCATCAGCCGTGCACCCTTAGAGAGGAGCCCCTTCCAGTCCCTGGACCGCTGGGGTAAGTGAGGTGGCGGGGGGGGGGGGAGGCTGCAGGGTGCCGGCAGCGGGGGCAGCTCCCGGGTGGAGGTGTTCTGGTCTGGATGTGAGATCCCTGGGGCCCCAGCCCGGGGCAGCCCTGAGGAGCTGACTCAGATAGAACCTAGGGGCCGGGGCAGAGGGCGGACCCCTCAGGGTCATGGCTCCACTGAGCCGCTTGGCGGCCCTGGGCGATGGTCAGTGTCCCCACCCTGGGTCTGGGGCCCCACAGGAGTATGGGGTCAGGGAGGGGCATGTGGCAGTGTCAGGATGGAGTGCTGTCAGGAGTCTCCGGGGCCTGGGCGTGGAGAGGTCTGCAAGTCCCAGCAGAGAAACTGCCATGTTCAGAGTGCAGTGAAGGCTGAGCGAGAGCCAGGCCTGCGGGTGGCCACTTCCACAGGGGCGAGAAAGGTGGCTCTGGGCAGGGCTGACCCAGGCCAGGGCACAGGGGTCCCGGGGTGGGGCGGGGTGGGGGGCGGGGAGGAGGCCAAGGCAAAGGAGCTCTGGCTGCCCAGCCTCCTCTCTGGAGGACCCGAGCCCCTGGGGGCAGGAAGCCTGAAGCTGGGCCTGCGCTGATAAGGCCTCTGCCCAACTCTGCCACCTGTCACCAGGGAAGAGTGTGGCTTGAAGATAGTTGCTGGAGGGAGGAGGGCTGGACTAGAAATGGGGAAGGAGGCCGACGCCTCCACCCTCCTCTTCCTCCTCTGAGCTCAGGGAGGGAGGAGGCTGCTGGGCACCCAGAGGCCAGCCCTGCCTGATGAGCTCCCTACAAGGCCAGCCGTGGCCAGGACCCCTATGTTGGATCTCAGGCGCCAGCTCAACCCTCCTTCTCTCTCCTGTACCCAGTGTTTGCTGTGGGGATCGTCCTGGCGGGCCTGTTGGGCCTGGGAGCTGCCCTGAGTGCTGCAGCTACCGTGAGGGAGGCCCAGGGCCTCATGGCTGGGGTGAGTTCTGGGGCCCCTGGCACTCCTAGTCTCCAGATAAGGGTCGAGACTTAGAGGTATGTAAAGCCACCTCACCCCATCCTGTAACAACTCCAGAACTCAGGCTGGAGGTGTGGCTAAGGTGGTGGAGGGCTAGCTGGTGAGCAAAAGCAGCAGGTACCCAGTTCAAGCCCCATTCTCAGACCTACAAGAGAAAAGAATCCAGGCTCAATACACAAGCCTAGATATCTGGGCCAGCCAGGACTCTCCACATGGATGAGTCAAGAATCTCCCCTACACCAGCCAGGACCCTCCCCAAGACCAACCAGGACACTGCCCAAGACCAGCCAAGACCCTTCTCTAGACCAGCCAGGACCCTCCTCTAGACCAAACAGGACCCTCCTCTAGACAAGCAAGGACCCTCCTCTAGAACACTCAGGATCCCCCCCCCAGACCAGCCAAGACCCTCCACAAAAACCAGCCAGGACCCTCCTCTCCACCAGCCAGTACCCTCCTCCAGACCAGCCAGGATCCTCCTCTAGACCAACCAACGCTCTCCTCTACAACAGCCAGGACTCACCACTAGTCCAGCCATGACCCTACTCTAAACCAGCCAGGACCCTCCTATAGGCCAGCTCTAGGACCCTCCTCTAGACCAGCCAGGACCATCCTCTAGACCAGCCAGGACCCTCCCTAGACCAAGCAGAACCCTCTCCTATACCAACCAGGATCCTCTTCTAGACCAGCTAGGACCCTCCCCAAGACCAACCAGGACCCTCCTCTAGACCAGCCAGTACCCTGCCCTAGACCAGCAAAGACCCTATCCTAGACCAATCAAGACCCTCCTGTAGACCGACCAGGACCCTCCTCTAGACCTCCAGGACCCTGCCCTAGACCAGCCAGGATCCTCCTCTAGATCAGCCAGGACTGTCCACACAGACCAGCCAGGACCCTCCACACAGCCCTCAGGGCCCTCCCCTAGACCACACAGGATGGGATAGTCGGTGCCCCAAGGGCTCGTGGTCGCTCACAGGGGTCCTACAGGAGCCGGAAGGCAGAGCTCCCCTGGGTGCCACCCGCCGCTGGGAGGGCTTTGTGGGTGTGATTGAGGGGCCTTTGTTTCCCTTCAGACCTGGGAAGACCCTTTGGCCAAGCCCTCCGGCTTGGGCCCCCCTGGGCTACAGGCCGCTTCCAAGCTATGCTAGAATTCTCCCAGCCCCGAGATCCCCTCCTCCACCCAGCCCGGAATGAATCCTCAATGCTCCCACCCCAGTTCCTCCCTGTAGGCCCCGCCCCAGGTCCCATCATCCCCACGCTGGGCCCCACCTGCCAACCCTCCATCCCTGCGGCCTGGGCCCTCCCCACGCCCCCCCCCCAGGGTCTCCCAGCCCTCTGGCACAAAGCAGACAGTGCTGACCACGCGTGACACGTGGACACCAAAAACCTGGGCAGTGTAGCTGTAAAGACGAGGGAGGGGCCCCGGCGAGGAGGGGACAGGCTCCAGGGGTGTGCCCCCAGAAAGTGTGCCCTGCAGGAGGGATGGGAGGGATGTCTGCAGAGAGGATGAGGCTGGCTGGCCCGCAGCTGGGCCGGGCAGGAAGGGCTGCGGTATCCACCACCAGAGGGCGCTGTGGTGCCAGGCTTGAGGCCACCACAGAGAAGCTGGAATTAGATGGGTGCCACCAGATCCTTTCCTATTCCAGGGTCCCTGCAGGGACCTGCGCTGCCAGCCCGTCACAGCTGCCTCTCCCGGCCCCCCTGAACCCCGAGTGAGCACTCCAGGCCTCTGAGCTCCCCAGGCCCTGCTTGGCAAGAGCTTCGTGTGCCCGCGGGGCCCGGTCACTGTCAGTGTGGGTCAGGGCTGCAGGAACAGGGCTGCAGGAAGTGGAGGGTCCGAGGCACACATCCCCACCGCACCCAGCCCCCTCGGCCCAGCATGGGCGGTGGGCCCAGCAGGAAGTGGAGGGTCCCACGCACACATCCCCACCCCACCCAGCCCCCTCGGCCCAGCATGGACGGGGGCCCAGCTCGGACTTTGCCTGTCCTCATTGTTTTGCAGGTGTAACGTGTCTAGGTGTTGTGGGGAGTGTGTCTCTGCTGCATGTGGCATGTCTGGCTGTTGCGTGTGGCTGTCTTTGGTTATGTGTTGCGTATCTGAGTTGTATGTGGCTGTGTGTGACATCTGTGTGTTATGTGTGATATGGGTGTGTGTGGTGTGTCTGTGCATTGTGTATGATTTGGGGTTTTGTGTGTAGTGTTTGTTGTGTGTGGGTATCTAGGGGGTTGCATGGTGTGTGTCTGCAAGCTGTGTGTGGTGTGTCTGAATATTATGTGTTATTTGGGTTGTGTGTGGTGTATCTATGTGTTATGTGTGGGGTTGCATGTGGTGTGTCTGCATCCAGGGGTTGTGTACACTGTATCTGCATGTTGCACGTCTGTGCTGTGTGGCAGTTACATGTTGTGTGTGGCTATCCTGTGTGTCAGCATGCAGGAGCGCATGGAAGGAGTTGGGGAATGGAAAGCTGTTTTCCTGCTGAGGGTGTGTGCCCCTCCCTGCCCTTCCTGCCCGGCCTCCCACAGCCTCACACACAGGAAATGAAATCGCAGCGGTGAGGAAGCAGCTCCAGTTGTTTGTGGACTTGCTTATTTATTTTCATTCAGAGAAAGGAGAACGAAAATGCCCATAATTGGGCCCAGCTCCATCCAGCAGCCTCTGCACTGGGGAGGGAGGGCCTGTCCACTGCCCAAGATCCTGGGAGAGTCCAGAGAACGGGGAAGAGAAAGAGAGCTGATGCTCCTTCTCCTGAGGAATGGAATGGTTTCTGGAAAATTCTGGTCTTGGGCTGGCTCATGTCCTGGAGCCTGGGAGGCGGCATGGAGAGATGGCTTCCAGATGAGACGGCCCTCAGCCAGCCAGGGGAGGAGGGGAGGCAGGGAGAGAAGATGAGGAGAGGGGGAAGAAGGAAGAGGAGAAGAGGGAGAGCAGGGAGGAGGAGGAGGCTGGAGGAAGAGAAGAGGAGGAGGAGGATGGAGGAAAGGAAGGAGAGGAGGGAACACTCCCAGAGAAGCTGCAGACAGTGCTGATAATCTAATCACCGCAGGCTCGAGGGCTGGGAAGATGGATTGGTTTGAGGGCAGGAAGGATGGATTGCTGGCTCCTGCTGGGTCAGAGCCTACACTCAGGTCTAGGGACTAAGGGGTAGTGGTTCCAGATCTTTCTACACTCTTATTGGAGCTAAGCTGCTTCTTATTGCTTGCTTCCTTTCTTTCTTGTCGGTCATGGGGCTGGAACTCAGGGCCTGGACACTGCCCCTGACCTCTTTTTGCTCAAGGTGAGCGCTCTACCACTTTGAGCCACAGTGCACTCCTGGTTTTCCGGTGGTTCATTGGTGATAAGAGTCTCACAGGGACTTTTCTACCCAGGCTGGCTTCAAGCCGTGATCCTCAGATCTCAGTCTCCTGTGATGCTAGGATTACAGACGCCGGCCACCGGCACCCAGTGGGGCTGTCTCTTTGTCTCTGCCATCTCAGCCAACATCTGTGGCTGTGTCCAGATGTCCTCCTGGGGTCCCGCTGAGTGAGGACTCTGGACTGCCACAGCCAGTCCAGTCCACAGCTGCCCTGGCTGCAGTCGGTCTAGCCTAGCTCCCACATCAGCCCGGCCACAGCGCTGTGGGGTGGAGTGGGTCTGACCCAGAGGGCCGCGCCGTCTAGCCAGGGCCATGGCACTGGCCACCGGCGTGGCTCATCCTCTAGAGGGTCAAGAGGACACTCAGCAGGGACCAGCTCCCTGTGCGGGCGGGGCATTCACAGCTTCTTCTCGCAGAATCCTTACACTGTCCATGCAGGGGGGAGGGCAGGTGACCAGGCAGGCCAGGGAGGGGCCTGTAATGCTCACTGTCTTCTACAAGCATGTTCCCAATCTGAGCGCGGACAGGACAGGGCCCTCTGCGGCCCAGGGGCAGCGTAAAGATGCTGGGTGGCAGGCCCACGCAGGGGTGTGGAAAAGACAGGAAAGGGAGGCGGTAGCTTGGTGGGTCACGCCGGTCCCTTGCAGCCAGCTGCCTCTGGGGGGTGGGCGTGGTCCAAAGGCATCAGGCTGTTGGGTTGGGGTGCTTCAGAAGGGAAACCGAGGCACCCAGGGGGGCGCAGCGCCAGTCCTCGTGCAGGGGCGTGGCATGGCGGGGAGGGGGAACAGGACAGAAATTCCAGAAAGGGTCTCCCCATGCCAGGAGCCCCCGCCCTCTCCCGTGCCCACACACACGCTCACCCCCGCAGGGGTTCCTGTGCTTCATCCTGGTGTTCTTGGCTCTAGCACAGGTGGCCTTCTGGAGGCTCCGCAACCCCACCCAGGTGAGTGTCCCCGTCCCTGTCCCCACACTGCCCAGCTAGTCACTGCTCTGCCACCATCTGAGAGCCGTGGGCAGCACGCAGGGGAACGTGGGAGGCCCGGCTCTCCATAATTCATGCCGCCGGCCAGCACCGGCGGGGAGTCCCGGGGGCTGCCCTCCCTCCATGCCCTGGTCACCGTGTGGCCGGCCACAGCCTGCCCATGGCCACCCTCATGCCGCCGAGCTGCCTGGAGGCATGGCCATGAGTGCCAGTTGAGCCCACAGAGTGGGTGTGGTGGGAAGGAGTTCCCGAGACCAGGTACCAGGCCGCCCTGGCCTTGGGAAGACGCCTGGACGTCCAGTCTCAGCCAGCAGCAGTCTGAGAACAGCTCCTGTCTGTTCTTGGGTCCAGGAGCCCCCAAACACCCTTGCAGGGAGTGGAGACCCCTGGACCACTGGCAAAGCTCCTGGCCCTGGTCCCTCCATTTCTAAGAGACACACCGGCCTCGGGCTCTGACAGTGCCCGGCTGAAGCCTCGGTCAGGAGCTGGAGCTGGGCTGCGGGATGCCAGCCCGACCCCCGGGGCCTGGCTGCGGGGGCTCAGGCAGGCGCTGCTTCTCAGCGACTAGGAGAGTGCTCAGCAGAGCCAGGCAAGCAATCCCTGGAGATGTGTCCACCCTGCTGAGCAGGGGTGAGGACAGTGACCCCAGGCCCCAGGGAAACTCGAGGCCTCCCTGGGCGTGGCTGGGCTGTGGGGGGGGGATAGGGAGGGGCGGGGAGGACCTGCACCACCCACTCCAGAGCTCCCAAGGTCCCCAGGCCTCCCGGGACCTGCTGCTCCAAGGTTGCAGTGGAGGACGGCTTGGGTTGAAGAGGGCGCTGGCTGGGCCCGCTCGTGGCCACGGCCAGCCTGGCACCTGCTGCCCAGGCGGGGCTGACTCACAGAGACGTGACTGTGTGGTCTCACAGACAGGGATTAACCAGTCCCCGGGCGCCTGGCACAGGAGGACCAAATGGCTCCTGTGAGGGTGTCCGGCTTGGCCAGGACCGGCTTAGCACGTCTGCTGCCCACCTGAGACCTCCGGGCTGGAGGCCTGAGTGGGCAGAGCAGGCACAAGGATCCTGCATTCACCTCTACTCCCTCTACTCACCCCTACCTTACCCCTCTACTCACCCCTACTCCTCCATCCCTACCCCCTCTACCACCCCTAACCCCTCCATCCCTACCCCCTCTACTCACCCCTAACCCCTCCATCCCTACCCCCTCTACTCACCCCTACCTTACCCCTCTACTCACCCTTGCCCCCTTTATTCATGCCTCCCCCCTCCATTCACCCCTGCCCTCAGCACCCTCAGTAAGAGCAAGAGGGAGGACTCAGGTCTCCAAGCACAAAGGAGGCATCAGAGGGCCTGCCTGGGCCAGGAGACCAGCGAGCTCTGGGCAGCCAGGGCGGCCTTCCTGGCAGAGGTGGCCTTTTGCCTCTGAGGGAATCGTTGGCAAGGAGAAGGTGTCTGGGGATGCTGGGTGTGGAGCAAAGGCAGCACCAGCCAGCGCCGCTGCCAGCGCTCTGACTGTCCTGGCCCCCAAATGCGCATGTCTGCTCTGAGCCTGTGTCTTCTTTACCCAGAGTCCAGCTGCCCAAACTCTGGGTGGTTCTGGGCACCGAGCTCTGTGCATCTTGGGGAGTGAAGTCTTCCCGGGCCCAGCCCCGTCGCCATGCCGAAGGCAGCAGGAGGTGCTTCCCTTGCTGGTCCCTGAAGCCCCCAGGACCAAGGCTGAGTGCAGCCTGAGCGTAGCCCTCAGTACCCCGGGCAGCCGGAGGCCACATGGGGAAAGGCGGCTGCTGGAGGGCCGCATGTCCCCTGCACCCATGGGTGGCAGGCTGCAGGGTGGGGCCTCCCATGTGCTCTCTGTGCAGGTGGAGGATGCCGTGCTGGACACCTATGACCTGGTGTATGACCAGGCAGTGAGGAGCCCGTCGGGCACCCAGAGCCAGGAGCTCACTGCCATCCAGGACACGGTAAGCTGGAGACAGGGTCTCTCCTGCACTGTGTTGGCAGCTGGCGGGGTGGTTGGCCCTGCTGAGGTCCAGGGAAGAGGTGCTGGATGCCCCCACAGTGAGTGGTCCAAGGGCCAGTAGTGAGGGGGACCCAGGACACCACTGCTTCCTGAATAAGGCTGGCTGCTGGATGTGTGGCCCAGCGAAAGATCAAAGGGCAGAGCCCAAGTTCAAAAATCATGACTAACTAGCCAGGCACTGGTGGCTCCTGCCTGTAATCCTTGTTACTCAGGAGGCTGAGATCTGAGGATTGAGGTTTGAAGCCAGCCCAGGCAGGAAAGTCCATGAACCAGCTGGGAAGGTGGCTCAGTGGTAGAGCGCTTGCCTTGCAATGCATGAGGCCCTGGGTTCGATTCCTCAGCACCACATAAGAAAAACGCCGGAAGTGGCACTGTGGCTCAAGTGGTAGAGCGCTAGCCTTGAGCTGAAGAGCTGAGGGACAGCGCCCAGGCCCAGAGTTCAGGCCCCACAACCGGCAAAAGGGACAGTGCCCAGGCCCAGAGTTCAGGCCCCACAACCGGATCCCCCCCCAAAAAAAGTCCATGAACCTCCCCCCCCCCGCCAGTCCTGGGGCTTGAACTATCCCTGAGCTTCCCTGAGCTCAAGCTCAGGAGCTCACGCTGAATAAACAAACATCTCAGACAGCAAGCATGAGCGCAATTGAGCCACCTGCCCCCCCCAACCCCACAGGGCCTTAGACAGGCCCTGCTGGCTGCGGTGGGAGCTGGCCTTCCGTGTCTGTGGTGGCCGCTCGGGGCCGGGCTGCGCCCTCCTGGGTGCCAGGTGCCCCACAAGTCGCCATGATGCCCCCAAACTCCAGTCCTGGTCTCTGGGGAGCCCAGTTCTTCAGGACCACCCAGGTCATTTGTCCTCTGGTGCCTCAGTTTCCCCCATTTGTCCTTCCTGCCCGCCTGACATGGCTCCCTGATCTCCTTTGTGCAGTTTCTGTGCTGTGGAAAGACCTCTCCTTTCGGACTCTTGGGGAGCGGGGAGGCCGCCCTGTGTCAGGGCCCTGAGGCAGCAAGAGAGGTGAGGGTGGACGACGGGAGGGGAGGTGGGGAGGAGCATGGGGAGGAAGAGGCGGGCCAAGGGCTGGGAAGATCCTGCAAGCTGGCCGGGTGACACCCCTGGCCCTGGCCCCGGACCCCTGGGCTGTACAGGCTCAGAGCCCTAGAGAATCCGGGGGGGGGGGAGGGGTGAGAGGGAAGCTCCTGCGGTCAGCCTCGAACCCAGGTCCCTTCTGCAGAAGGAGGCCTCCCTGCCTCCCACTTCCCTCCTCCACACACTCCCCGCCTGGGCCCCTGTCTGCGTGCCCAGGCCCTGACCAGCTGTCTAGGGGAGGGGGCAGGGGTTCCAAAAGCAGCCACTATAAGGGCACTCCGGAGGCGAGGGGAGGCTAGAGGGTCAGCTGGGCAGGGACGTGGCCCTTCTACGAAGACCTGAACTTGGCCTGCTGTCCTGATGCCCAGCTGCCCAGCCCCCACCCCGGCTCTCCTCCCCAACCCCCTCTGGACACACGCTATCTCATGGTGCAGGGCCTGGCTGCCCTCCAGGGACGGGAGGCGGATGGGGACTGGCTTGTGGCCCAGCCAGGGCCCAGCACCCGCCCCGAAGGCCAGGGGAGCTGGTGCTGGGGAGGGGCTCCAAGTCAGGGGTCCCAACTGCAAAGCAGGAGCCGTGACCCTCTGTAAAAGGACTGAGGGCGTGGGGAGAAGCCTGGGGAACACAGGCCAGCCAGGCCTGGGGGTCCCCTGCCCGCAGGAAGGCGGGGTGGCTCTAGGAGTGGCTTAGTGATCCAGAGCCTTCCTAAGCTTCCCCAAACGCTCCCTCCTGCCCAGAAAGCTATGTGCGCCAGCAGAGTTGCAGGAGGACCGGCAGTCACCTCATTTCTGGGAGAGAAGCACGCTTTAGGGAGCACTGGAGGCTCAGACAGAACTGGGCCCCCAGAGAGCGAGGGCCATGCCCCCCTGCCCCCAGCAGCCATCTCAGAAGTGCTTCAGAGAAGCTGTCCCCCTCCCCACACCCCCTGGGGCCCAAGCAGCCCAAGGTCCCCATGGCAGCCAGCCGGCTGGGACCCTGGGTGTCACCATTCCTGAGCTGCTTTCCCAGAAGTCAGGTGGCTTTCCCTGGACACTTGTGCACCACTACTGCCCACAGCCCCATGCCTGGGGCCCTGCAGGCCCCCCCCCAGGGCTGGGGTCAGGCCGGGCAGGGAGGGACAGTGGTCAGGGATGGGGGTCAGGCCGGGCAGGGAGGGATGGTGGTCAGAGCTGGGGGTCAGGCTGGGCAGGCCAGGCAGGGAGGGACGGTGGTCAGAGCTGGGGGGCAGACCGGGCAGGGAGGGATGGTGGTCAGAGCTGGGGGGGCAGGCCGGGCAGGGAGGGACAGTGGTCGGGGTGGGCCAGCCCCCCCGCAGGGCTGGGGTCAGGCTGGGCAGGCCAGGCAGGGAGGGACGGTGGTCAGGGCTGGGGGGGCAGACTGGGCAGGCCGGGACGGTGGTCAGGCTGGGCAGGCCGGTACGGTGGTTGGGGTGGGCGCCAGGCATGCTGTCCGGCCGCAGGACTGCCTGCAGAGCATCAGGAACTTTCTGAGGACACACGCGACCATCACCTCCACCCTGACCGGTGCCGGCCTAGCCCTCACGGTATGCCACACTCCCCCACGCTGCCCCTTCCCACCTCCACTGGTTGGAATCTGCATCCTTCCTCCCCAAGACAAGTGGACCCCTTGCCGATTCGGCCAAGTCTAGAGACTTCTTAGGGAAAGGAGGCCCCCACCCCAGGCTGCTGCATGGCTAATGCCCGGGCATGGGGTCTCCCCCAGGTATACGCCATGCTGCTCAGCACCTTCCTCTGGCTTGCTATCCACAAGGGCTGCGGCTTGGACCACAAAGGCGGATACTCCCTGACCCCACGGTACACCCCCCCCTTAGCAGGACCAATGCCCCCACCTGACCTGCCATCTCCCCAGAAACAACACAGAGAGATGGGGCTTCAGGGCCACGTGCAGCGGAGGCCTTGGGGTCCCCATGCACAGATGCAGGGGGGTCCAGACCCTGCCCCAGTGTCACCCCAGCCTGGCTGCCCGGAGCTCCCCCCCCCCACCCGCTCTGCCCTGGCCACCAGCGCCTGCCCGCCCAGTATCCCTCCTACCCCCTCTGTGTTCTGGAAAATAGTGCTTTGCCATCCCCTCCAGAACATTCTGGCACAGACTTGAAATCCCTTCTAGACTGGTCTACAACCTTGGTTCTCTCCAGAACATTCTAGAACATCGTAGGAAGTCTTTTTTGTTGTCATTGGTTGTGGGGCTTGAACTCTGGGCCTGGGCGCTGCCCCTCAGCTCTTTTGCTCAAGGCTAGCACTCTACCACACTTGAGTCACAGTGCCACTTCCAGTTTTCTGGTGGTTCACTGGAGATAAGAGTCTCAGGGACTTTCCTGCCCGGGCTGGGTTTGAACTGCAATCCTCAGATCTCAGCCTCCCAAGTGGCGAGGATGACAGGCGTGAGCCACCAGCGCCAGGCTAGGAAGTCTTATGGTGCCCACCAGAACATTCTGACAGATTCACAGTTGCTTCTAGAGTGTTCTAGAAAGATCAACAATGTCCTAAGGCGTTCAGAACAGCCTCATTACCCCCTGCCTTTCAGAGCCCATGGCTACCAGTACCAGGAGCCCAGCCTCTTCAGACGATTCCAGGAAGCACCCGTGCCTCGACACCCTTCTGAAGCAGAGGACGTTCTATAGCCATGGAGGTCCAGCAGGACACCTGGGTGGCCCACGGTGGGGCCAGGTCACCTACCTGCCCAGAGGGCGGGCGACGCTGGCCGTGGCGAATCCTCCAGGGAGATGAGGGCAGGGGGAGGGGAGAGCTGCCAGGCCGATGCCTCCCTGAGGGCGGGCCAGGCTGACCAGGCTGGGAGGACGAGGACAGAGGAGCCAGCACGAGACAGGCCGGACTCCCGGTCAGTGCCGTCCAGTGCCTGCCAGCTCTGCACAGGCCCTCTCCCCCCCCCCCGGCCCCCCGGGGCTGTGCGGTAACACAGCATCAACGTGGTCACTGGTCTCTGTGACAGCTTAGGGTAGGAAGGGTTTGTTCCGGCTCGGGGGCTCAGAGGCGTTGGTCTCCCAGGGCTGCAGTTTGTGGCGAGGCTGACCAGGATGGTGGGAGCATGTGGGGGACAGAGCTGCTTGCCTCAGGGTGGCCGGAAAGCAAAGGGAGGAACAGGAGGGAGGGGGCAAGGCGCACCCCGCAGGGAAAGACGCCGACTTCCTCCAGCGGTCCTGCCTCCCAGTTTCCCCCAGCCTCCCATCACACCAGTGTGTCACAACTCCACCATGGTTAATCGGCCGACTCTCAGAGCCTCCCGGTCCGGCAGCCTCCCAGCCTCCACCTCTGGGCATGGCGTGGGACACCAGGACTTTGCAGCGTGAGGGCCTTTATTTTGGGGGGTGGGGAGTGATTTCCTACCCAGACCTTAACAGTCCGTCAGAGGAGTACCTACGCGAGGAACCTAAGCAACTCCATTTCACTGAAGACCCCCATCTCAGTTCCGCAACTTAACCCTTGACCCACGTCAGGCCCAATGCCTGGAATTACGATATCTGAAATTCCAGAACTGCCCCTCCTGGGGTCTGGTGACCATTACCTAAACCAGACACCCTGCAGCTGAGCACCTATCCTTTTGAGACTCCCCTGTGGTGCAAGCCGACCAGTTTAAACTACGTCAGCCCCCTTGATCTAACCAACAACTTGTTTCTGGTCCTTTCCCGCTTTGTAGTGTGCCAATCATACTATAGAGTTGTTTTATGCTTTTCCCACAGTTTGTAGTGATTTGTTACAAGAAGTTATGATGTATGCAAAGCCCCTGCCTTCCCTAAAAAAGTGTATAGAGAGTGCTGGAATCCTGGGCTCGGGGCCTCTCAGCGTCATGGGCTGCTGCCATGTGCACGGGGGGGGGGGGGGACCAAACTCGAGCTTGCAATAAAGACTCCTTTGCTTTTACATTGGTGACGGTCTCTGGTGGTCTTTTGGGTAAGGATTTCTGAATTCGGCTTTACACTGCGCAGTGCCTGCAAGTCCCTGGTCCCATTCCACAAGGGCCGGGCAGGTTCCCTGCTCGGGGTCTCGCCAGGCCAGGAGCGAGCACAGGCAGCCTGGGCCTTGGTCTTACTCTCCCTTCTGGAAGAACCTCCTTCTGGGCACTCTGCCAGCTGGAAGAATCCAGTTTCAGGGAGCTGCAGCTTCTTCCTTCTGCTGACTACCAGCTGGGGTGGCTTTTGGCTTCAAGAAGTCACCCCTTTCCTCCTCATGTGTCCCCTCCGCCTGCAGACCCCCGAGAGCAAGCTGGGTCTCAAAATCCTTCCGAGCGGAGCCCTGCCTGGAGTATCTCCCTATCTGAGGGACGTTTGCCTTAATCGTGTTAAAATAATAAAACACAGACTTGACCATCATCACCATTTTTAGTTGTGGTAGTTGGGGCGGCTGGTCTCGGGGCCTCACGCTTGCTGTACCGGTGCCCCTTCCAGCTGGGTTACACTTCCGGCCCTGTGATTCACAGATGATGCTTGGAATTTGATTGTGTTTGGAATGCCCACCCACCCAGTTACACCTCTAGGCCATCATCCACCTACTGTAGCTTCCTGTAGTCATGGGGGCCCCAAGCACACTCCACCCAACCCAGCTTCTTTTCTGTGGGTCCAGCCTCCTGGGCTTTCCTGCCTGGGCTGGCCTGGAATCACGATCCTCTCAATCTCAGCCTCCTATGTAGGTTAGGGTGACAGGTATGCGCCACTGAGCTCCAATGTGGGTGGTGAAGGCCTTCAGTCCTCCTGTTCTCAGCCTCCCAGCACAGGTGTGCACAGGTCACAGCACACAATTCAGGGGCATCGAGCACATTCACCACCAACCACTTCCACAACTTTCTCATTTTCCTAGGCTGCACCTTTAGTGCCGGGTAATCCCAGACTGCACCTTCTGTGCCCGGTAATCCCAGACTCCCCAGCCCAGCTCCTCATCTGCTTCCTGTCTGATGCCCCTAGACGCCTCCTAGAAGTGGACTCGTGCAGTGTGCGGCCATGAAGACACACCCAGTGTGTCCTCAGGGTCGCTGCACGTTAGAACCTGTGCTGGTATTTCCCAAGGAGACATCTTACCATGTGTAAGGGACCTCGGAGTCACATGTTGAAAAAAGAAAGACCGGGCAGCCAGCGCACAACAAAGAGCGTGCACCTCAGCCAAAGCCCCCAACCCTGAAATCAGACGCAGCTCACACCAAGGGAAGACACTTGTGTGCCGGGGGCGTACCCCACCGTGGCCTGGGTCAAGCCCCGCCCCCCAGCGCCCTGACAGCCTCGCTCTTACTCATCTGTGCAGTCCTGAAGAGAAGGTGCCTGCTGCACGCTCCTGCAGAGACAGACGCTGGGAAGAGGGAAGAAGAGGGAGGAGCTGGGAAGGTGGCTTAGCGGTAGAGCGCTTGCCTAGCATGCACAAAGCCCTGGCTTCAATTCCTCAGTTCCACATACACAGGACAAGCCAGAAGTGGCCTTGTGGCTCAAGGGGTAGAGCGCTAGCCTTGAGCAAAAGAAGCTCAGGGACAACACCCAGGCCCTGCGTTCAAGCCCCAGGACTGGCAAGAAAAAAAAAAAAAAAAAAGGAAAGGGGGGAGACGCGCTCCGTGACATAAAGCCCAGGACACCGGACCAGCCCTGACTGGAGAGGATGCTGTCACAGAGCTGTGGCGCATGTCCAGCTGTTTCCCAACCTCGTGCCATGCTGAGTTTCTGCTGGCCCTTGTCACCAACATCTTCTGCCAGCTTTGATTCTAGAGGGATGGGATGGGAGCGACGCTGGCCCCTCCGTCCACCACGTCAGGTGGCGTTGTCTCTCATCCCAGCCCCTCTCCAGCCCCCACTTAGGATGGCCGGACGTCTCCTCCAGCCTCACTCAACGACCCTGTTACGTGTTGCTCGGATGGAAGAATCCCTTGCCTGGCAATTAAGATCTCAGCGCAAGCCGGGCACTGGTGGCTCACGCCTGTAATCCTAGCTACTCTGGAGGCTGAGATCTGAGGATTGAGGTTCAAAGCCAGCCTGGGCAGGAGAGACCGTGAGACTCTGATCTCCAATAAACCATCAGAAAACCGGAAGTGGCGCTGTAGCTCAAGTGGTAGAGCGCTCGCCTTGAGCTGAAGAGCTGAGGGACAGTGCCCAGGCCCAGAGTTCAAGCCCCACGACCGACCGAAAAAAAAAAAAAGATCTCAGCGCAGGGGAGAGGGACCCAAGGCCTGGCAGGGCCGGTTTGGGAACGTGGGATGAGTCCCTGGCTGGGCTGCTGAGCACTAGCCCCACACCCACCCCTCCAGTCCCGGGGGGTTCTGACTTAGGGGAAATCTCTGGCTCCCCATGTACTGCCCGCCCGCAGTGCATCCCACAGGCCCCCGGGGGGGTCTCATCGTCTTGGCTGTTCCGGTCCTGGCCAGACTCCACAGAAGGAGGACATGGAACTGGAACACAGCCAGCCGCCCCGGCTCTGCGTGGTGGCCTTTGGTCAGGGGATAAGAGGATAGACAGGTAATCAGACTGAGGTGCTCAGAGAGGGGCCTCTGCTGGGTGATTAGGATGAGATAAAGCCGTCAGGATGGAGCCTCGTGAGGGAATCCTGGTGACTGATCTCCCTCTTCCCTCCCTCCCTCCCTTCCTTTCTTCCCTCTTTCTTTCCTTCCCTCCTTCCTTCATTTCTCCCCTCCCTTTTTCAACTCTCTCCCTTCCCTCCCTCCTTTCTTCCCTCCATCCCTCTTCCCTCCCTTTCTTTCCTCCCTCCCCTCCTTCCCTTTCATCCTTCTGCCTTCTCTCAGTTCCTTCCTTTCTTCCCTCCTTGCTTTCTTCCTTCTCTCCCATCCTTCCTCTCCTTCCTTCCCTCCTTCCTTCATTCCCTTCCATCCTCCCTCCCTTTGTTCCCTTCCTTTCTCCTCTTCCTCCCTTCCTTCCTCTATCCTTCCTTCCCTCCTTCCCTTCTCCCTCCCTACTTGCTTGCTTTTTGAGACAGGATCTCCACACATAGTCCAAGCCAGCTTTGAACTCTGGTCCTCTGTACAGAGGACAGAGTGTGTCAGAAGACACACACAGAAAAAAAAAAAATAGAGCGCTCGCCTTGAGCTGAAGAGCTGAGGGACAGCGTCCAGGCCCAGGCCAAGCCCACAAGACACTCGCTCTCCTGTCATATGAGGCTGGGCCACTCTGGGTCCGCCAGCCAGGCCATTGCAGGTGACAGCCCTTTGACCTCCACCTTGTAGCTGTGCAACAAAAGCCTTCTTTCTTCAGAAGCACCCTGCCTAGGTGCTCTGCTGCAGTAACAAGATGCAGAGAAACAGAAAACTGACGGTGGGATGGGCTCATTCCTAGAACTTGGCCTATGAGTGCGGGGTCAGGTCTCCAGCAGAGGACAGGAGAGTTCGGAGGACCGGCTGGGAAAAGCCTTCGGGGAAGGCTGTCCCCGGCGATTCTGGTGAGGGCAGGTTGGACAGGGGATGGGAAGAGCTAAGACATCTTAAAGGCCGGCTAGGTGGCGTCAGGGCGGGCTGAGGCGGTCGGGGCTGTGGTGGTAGAGGGACGGGCCAGAAGCTGACTCCAGAGTCTCCCTGGGACTCCGCTGAGATGGTGGGCGTGCGGGGCCGTTCCTGACACCCGTCAGGCTGGGGAATGAGGGACTCGCTGTTGTTTTTGTGGTACTGGACCAGGCCCCAAAAATGACACCCCAGGCCTTTTGTCCTGGTTATTTTAGGGATAGGGTCTCCCTGCTTGTCCAGGCCGGTGTGGACTTCTACCCTTCATTTGTGCTTCCTTGTGTTGCCGGGATGCCAGGTGCTCACCACCGCTCCCAGCCACTGCTTGAGGTGGAGTCTCACTTTTTGGTGGAGGGGGCAGGGGGCAGGGGAAGGGGGTCAGGAGTCTCATGAGGGAGAGACCCAGGCTGGCCTCAAACTGCCGTCCCCTGATCCTCCTCAATAGCTAATAAGACAGGCTCCAGCCACCACCCCTGGCTAGTTTATCGGGTGAAAGACCTTTCACAGTGGTGAAGCCTTCAGGCCCAGCTTGGGCTTTTATGAAGTTTAACAGT